AAAAATAGTCAGATGCTTTGCAACACACAGTCAACACCTATGCAACTGCCGATGATGAAGGAAGCTGCTGCTGACAATGTTGAATGAATTCGCCTGCTGGGGGAAAACGCTCCTGAAACTTGTTTTATAGGGAAGCAGTTCTAAGAATCTCCTATTTTCCCTACCTGTGCAGCCTTATCGAAAATTTCCTCATCACTAACCATTGGTAGGAATAAATTCACGAGATCATCAGAAAATGGTGGAGCGATAATTTCCAGCACCTGCAAACTCGTCTTATGTTTTGGCGTATTACAATGAATATTGTAAAACCCACCTCCATCGCAAAATACCGTACTAAAGAGGCATCGATTTGTCCATCACGGAACATTTCCCAAACCTTCTCCAATACCGGTATTGCACCTCCTACCGAAAGAAGATGAACGAACCGATCAACAACTAATCGCTGTCGTTCCATTATCACCTGCGTTGGAAGAAAATATAAATGACTGGAGTGAGTAATTATCTCTGATGACTAAATGAAAGAAGTAGACAATGACTTGCGTAACAAAACCACAGATAAGTAGAAGATGACACTCACCTCAGCAGCTTCGTTTTCTCCAGCAATCTTTTCATAGAGTTGACAGCAAACATCAAAAGCTTTAGCATGAAGATTTGGATGCAGTGTAGAAATATGATCTAAGAGACACAATGCAGCACCTGGTGGATCGCCTAAAGACAATTTTATATCCACAACGTATGCGAATCAATCGATAATCGATCTACCAACCAGTTCTCTCCTCAGACAACAGCAATGTCTGCACATAGTACAGTACTCCTGCAGCTACAACAGGCATTTTTATTGCATGGAGAAGATCATTCAGCTCAGCCAAGAGATCATCCATGCCTTCCAGCAAGCTTACTGCATCATCCAAGCATTGTCGACAATTATCGAGCTCCAGTCGCGATTGCTATGAAATAGAAAGTCAAAAGTGAAAAATCAAATAATCGACCTCTACACTGCGTGCTACATGGAAAATTAATGGACTCAGATTATTCTGCACATATGCAGCGATGAATTATTGTAGAGTGAAAAGTTAGGCTGACTAAAAAGACACAGTAACTTCCAATGGTTCCTTTCTTCCAGTCGAATTTCACAGCCAAAAAAAAAGAAAAAATTGAATTTTGATTCCAAAATTTCATAGCTTACCGTCCTCCTTCCATTGCTACTTCTTGTCTCTGACACAGATGCGGCACAAGCGAGGAGAAAGATGTACTTGAACCGATGTTCCGGGATGGTCTAAACAGACATGAAAATCTCTCCAAAGTCAACTTTGAAAATGAAAAGTCACTATACCTTAGGTCCTTGGTAATGGAATAAGGAGTCCAGTAACAGATCTATGAATATTGGATCTCGAATGATCGAAATTGGAGGAGGCAGTGGGAGAATATATTGCTGAAAAAAATAAGTAAGGAATGTTGCCCGCGTGGC